GGGGCTGGTCCAGGGCTGCACTCAGGGTGGGAGGTGGTGCTGGGAGTGGGGCTATGCTCCCGGCACTACTGCTGCTGCCTACCCCAAGAGCAGCCCTAGTCTGGGCCCCCTGCAGTGGCAGCCTGCCCTTGTACTGCACACAGATCTGGGGGCACATGCTTCCCTCCCCATGGCTCCCCTTGGGGGGGGGGGGGGGCAGTAGTGGGGGGCAGCCCCCGCACCAAGCCACTCCCTTCATCCCATGCCCAGCCCCACTCTCTCTCTCTCTCTCTCTCTCTGCAGGGGCCTCGATCTGCCCCTTCTCCCCCTACATACTTACCAGCTAGACGCTGCCCTCCAAGCTTCTGGGCTGCATATCTCTAATCGGATCAGTATCAGCCAGTATGGCTCATTAATAATCAGCCATTGGTATCAGCCAAAAAAATCTTTATCGGTGCACCCCTACTTTGGTAAATATTTGCATTTTAATTGGTGCCTGGATGCTGTTTTTTATGGGATGGGTTAGTAGTAATTTTGTTACTTACAAACACTGGTTTGTTTTCGATGGGTTGAGTGCATTAACAATGGACTTCGATACTAACCATATAAACTGTGAACATCTTCCTAATGAGTTCAACAGCTAGGATGAATACTTGTGTGTAAATATCTGCTGGATTGGTTCTAAGTTTACAAGACTTGCCTTCAAAATAAATGGAAAAGCTTAAGGTACAAATGAAAATATTTTTAGTAAGTCAGATTCTGAATTACAGGGAATATTGGATACACAACGTTTTCTAGAACTACTGGTATTATTGCAGTTATTTATAAGTCTTAAGTAACCTTAAAATACATATGGGAAGATGAATATGCTAAGCACCAGGTTATTAAAGTATTGAGGAATCCCAACTCCCACTGAAATAAAGGGAAATAAGTGACTAAATACTTCTAAAAATCTGCCTCTAAAAATGTTTTGATGGTTCTTTTGTACTTAGTTTGTTTCTAAGCTATATGGCCTATGTATAAATATACAGTATTTATAGCACTTCAGCAGTTTTGCATGCTTGTGGATACATTACTACATGTTATCTAATTAAATTAAGGTTTTAAAAGTACATTTGTATTGCCCAAAATTGCAAATGAACTGGTGAATGTGGACCTTTCAAATTTCAGCTTTAATTTTGCAATGTCCTGTGAGGTTACTCAGGTTGTTCCATTGTGATTTCGTAACATGTACTGTAC